TGTCTATTATTGAATCGGAAAGTTATTCCCGCTTGTTCTTTGAAAATTATATTAAAATATTGATACATGTTAATGGGGTGTGGGATTGTTGGATTGGTCTTTTCATGTAAGGATTTTTATCTGCATCCAGACTGTATTGTATCAAGTGTTATTATGTGATGAATCACGTTTCTGAGGGAACCAGTAATAATGACAAAGTTTGAGTTTTCCATCATCGCGTTATGTCTGAGAGTTCGACAGATGGCGAGTACTCGGGATCTGGGTCTGGGCTAGTTATCCACAGAGTTACCATTGACGATGAGCTGATGCTGATCTACAGATTAGCTGATCATCAATGGTAACTGGATAGGCAGTTGGCTTCAACAAAAATATGTCTTTTTAGGCCATTATTTTAGTTCACAAACATAACCGTTTCAACATCGCAGATTGATTATCAGATATATTATCAGATCAGATTGATCATCAGGATAATGACACTGAACTCCTACATAGACCTGTCTTCAATCGATACCTAAGCCATCCACTCTGGACGTAACAGGCAAACGATTCTTCGACCATTATGCCGTAGTAAAAAAATGTGTAACAGATCGTTGACAAATTGACTGTTAAAATGGTCATGCTGAAGGGCAAAGTCCACTGACAACAAATAACTCTAGATGATTAATGTGTGTTTTTTTCTAATGCCCACTTTCTGCCGCCTCTCTGTGTTTTGGACACACAAGCACCACATGCATGTGATGCGTCGGTCTGGATGATGTCTGGTGATGGAGTGTCTTGGCTATATTTTATGAAGGAAGTGATGTTTGACTTTGTCACTGAAAAAAACACCCAAATACCCAAGATCCAACTCCAAAATTATAAACAAATTGCTGTTTCCTTGAAAGAATGAGACAAAGTAATTTTTCTCAAAATGAGTTAGTAACTTCAGTAACAACTAAGGTTGTTTACAACCTGTCCCCTACAATTGTCTATATGGTATCCAGAGCAAATTTTTTTTTTTTGGCACTCATCTTTTCTCTGGATTTTGACAGTCTTAAATTATAATGAGAGATATAATACCAACGCAATTTTCAAAGGGCCTAATGTAAAGAATAGCTGCCAGCCGCCAGTGCCTGAATGGTGTATAGTGAAGGGCAATTCTATGGGTCTCCTGCTTGAAGGACTTCTTCCAAAGATTTCAGGAGTGGGAATCCCCCCCCCCCAAAAAAACACTGAAGCTTGAAAGAGGGTAAATTATCTCGGAGACATGGTATCCAACAATGGCATTGCTATGGACCAAGAAAACACAAAGACTGGCCCCTTCCAGTGCTTAAGAGGAGCTTCCCTGCACAAACAAAACGTTGTGTACATTTGCATGGGATAAAGAGTGGCATGTGTCTGTTTACCCACTCATGAACCTCCACGAGGCACCACTTTGTTTTTGTCCTCAATACAGACGTTCTAATGCAAATGTTGTTGGGTATAGGGACTGTTCTATTTCGAGTTATTACATCTTCATACAGACCGACCAACAATTTTTCCAACATAGAAGCAACTCAGCAAATACAAGTATAACATTGCAATCTATACTGGGGGGAAAATGTCGGTCGCAAAATAGTGACGCCGTTAGTGTGGTTAGAGAGACTGACAATTCTTTGAGAATGATGGGGAAGGTAACAAACCAGATAAATTAGACATATTTATGAGGACCTTTTTCGGTCATTTGTAAGCGGGTGAAAAAGATGGATGAAAACCGATAACTACTATTCAACGGTGTCAAGGCTACTTTTTGTGTATCCAACAGAGTGCAGTTATGGCCTCCCAATGCTGGATTACCTTGGACCTGGAAAACTCTTTAGACCGGACTTGAGGACCACGCTTCGTATTAAATCACATTAAAGTATTGGGTATGCAAATTGCACATGCACAAGACAGATGAGCTTTGGGAAGTTTGCTGTTCAAACTTAAGGTGAAAACTGACCAACTTCATTGCCATCTTACCTCAGTTTTTCCGAATTTTCAAAAAGCAAGCCATTAAATACAAAATTGGCTCTCACAATGTCATATCGGTGAGCTAAGAAGCTCATTGACAAACATCACCACCAAACAACTTGTCACCAAGTAAATATATATTTCAATGTTTAGATGAATACATCACATTTATTGAAAACATGGTAACCTACATTATTCTGAAATCACGATGCATTTGTATCAATTATCCACAAAAATCACCACTGTCATTATTTATTGTCTAGTATTTCTATGTAAAAGCTTAAATGCAAATAGTTTAAAACAAAAGCCATTGGTAATTTCAATATACACTTGCACCATTTACCTGCAGCTGCTAGAAGTTTCACTACATTGGATGCATGGCTTGAGTGCATAAAAATTAAATAAAGGGTGCCATTTGATTTAAATAAAGTGGGTGCCTCTAACCTAACTTAAAGTTTAAAAAGATATTACTTCTGCTGGTTAATATCAAATTCACACCAAGACACTATGGAATTAGGTAATCAGGTTGACTCCTACTGCTACCGCTTCTCTCTCCCCTAACGAGGTTAAAAGGGTTGAAGTTTGATGGTCTGTGTTTTTTCCCTTTTTGTATTCATAAATTTCTGTGAACCTCTTCCCCAGAATAGGTGTTTTTGGTGTCAGTGATTCTGATTTGTTCAAATTAAACTGAACTGAGTTGCATGTCATACGACACCGACTATCCTTTTTCTTTCAAAAGTATTACTAATTGTTTGAAGCCTAGCCACAACACATGAAGCAGTTTTAATTTTCAGTGTTTGCATTTCCAATCTAGGAGACTGAAGGATGTAAAAAAATAATTCAAGAACCTACATGTAGATACTTCGAAATTTACTGTTAAAAAGTCTATATGGTTATATTATCATATAACCGTGCAAACTTTTTAACAGTAAATTTTGAAGTACCTAGGTTCTCGAATCCTGTAGTGGTTAAATTTAGTGTAGCAAAAATTGGACATGAAAAGACCCAAAGTAGGTAATATTGTTAACTGCATGTTTTGTTGTCTGTTTACTTCTTTTCAGTTGAACAGAGGTTTCATGATTTAAGAGCTGCTTCCAATTTCAATCATGATTTACATGACCTGCCTACAAATAAGAATGCTGTGCCAGATATTTGGAATTAAGTGGGACGTTACATTTTACTTCTCTGAATGTGCCGCATTACATTTTGTCACAATTTACTTTATCAAGATCAGTATCACATTTCTGATTATTAAAATATGTAAACTTTGGAGTGCCAGTCTTCTACAAAATGCTATATATGTAAACAGCAATTCTGACAACGTAAACCAAATGTGAATGGTGTGGTTTTACAGAAAGGAAATATTTCAAACAATTGCACTTTTCATTTTAACATGTTGGGCATTACCAGTGGAGAGCTAATCACCAATCATGGCAGATACGTAATGTAGAAAATGCACACAAAGGACGTGCAATACTACGTTTCTCCATGGATTGGAAACAGGTGTTACAACTGTGGCACAGTGGTCAATGATCATCCCCGCCCAGTCAGATAAATAAATAACAGAAAACATTTTCCAAATGATAAATGAATATAGCAGGTTCATTGTTGTGTTTCTTAGATATTAAATTGCCATTTGTTTTTTTTTTTAGCTTAACACAACATGTAGAACATAAGATAGAGTCAACGTTCTGATCCGGAGATCTTCATCAGGACTGACTAGAATAGTGAAACACTCAAGTCATGGAATAAAACAATTGCTGTGTGGTAGGCAAGTGAAATAACTGCAGATAAACTATGTCCATGCAGGTGTTACTGCCAAATGGGGTGTATGTGGACACCAGAGTCAATGTTTATGTTCGCAGTCTGTTGAAACAGAGCTTCCTTGATTCATCTGGTACGGGTGAATTGTTCTTTGTCTAAGATTTTGGCATCCCCCCACTTGACTGTATGTTGGTGTTGACTACATGGAGAGCATTGTTCCTGTCCTTGTTCTTTACTGCTCAAGCACAAAACATATGCCCGCAACCACCCTCGACAAGGAACTGGACCATCTACACCATGTCTTCATAGCTAATGGTTACCCTCCAAACTTGACCCGGCAAATCATTAACTCCAACAAATCCAGGAAACCCACCCAGAGTATGCAGGAGCCCAAGACCATGTACCTCCCAAATGTCAAGGGACTAAGTGAGAAAATTGAACAGAAACCTGGAAATCAAGTGTGTCTTTAAATCAAGACATACACTTGGACAACAACTAACCAAAGTGAAAACAAAACCAGACTCGGCAAAAATCAACATTGTAATTTACTCCATTCCATGCGAGTGGGGCAAAGAATATGTCGGAGAAACGGGATGTAGTCTTCGAGTTAATGGCAGGGGAAGGAAGCTCTGTTTATTCAACTGACTGCAAACATAAACATTGACTCTGGTGTCCACATACACCCTATTTGGTAGTAACACCTGCATGGACATAGTTTATGTACAGTTATTTCACTTGCTTACCACACAGCTGTTGTTTACTTTCATTACTTGAGTGTTTCAGTAATTATGCTTGGCCATCTACTATTCCAGTCAGTCCTGATGAAGATCTCCAGATCAAAACATTGACTCTATCTTATGTTCTACATGTTGCGTTAAACTATTTAAAAAAACAATTTAATTCCCCAAATGGCTGATTACTACCTTAGCCAGGCAAAAGGGGCCAGTAATATCCTAGCGATACTTGTGGTGTTTCATTTGCAATTAACTACAACTTCTTTTTGTGACCAGGAAATAGAGGGAACATTTGTATTTTGATAATGGGACACCATCCATGAAATGTAATTTTATTCTTGTTCCTCCAAACTATGTTTTCAGAGACTCTTTACGAATTTGGCTAAGACTAGTCAACCTCTTAACCACCACTGGAAAGTTATGTTCAAAAAATCAAAATGCTCTTTAATCACAAGGAGTGATCATGAGATATCATAAAACACACTTTGATATAAATGCCGTGAAATAAAATGTTTTAAATAAAACACAAAATCTTCTAAACAACTTGCAATTTATTCCCAAATGAATCCAGAAGAAAGCTTTCCAGAAGGGATATAAATGCACATGAACATTCAGGGCATAAGGCCTAATACCAAAACGGTCCAATTAGATTTGCTGTTGTGAGATCCGACAAAAAATACATATTCCATTTCCTATACTTCAGTTCAAAAAGTTGAACCAGATGCAGATTACCAGCAAAAAGTTGCATTGGCGACCATACAGTACAGATTGAGATTGCAAGCCCTATCTGCGCTCTGGCCATGGACGTACTAGGTGCGGCAAAAAGTGTTGATAGACCGGTTACGCCTACTTAATAAGCTATGTCATCTATAGTGCATATCAAACATCAACAAACATGGTGAAATCTCATAGCAGCAAGTGTGAGAAATGTGTCTAAATCTAAAGCCAACACTCAGTAAATTACTCAGACTACTGATGTGCTGAGAACTACACCAAAAATTGGCTTCATTTTTGGTAAACACTACTCAAATCACACTTTCTTACAGGAAGACGTTTTGTTGATGTTTGATACCCACTTTAGGTCACGTGACATGGTGTAGTGGGCATAATCAGTCTGCTGGCCAAATGGTTTCAGGCCCAGGCAGGTCAAACTCCTCTGTCCTTTCTCTATGGTTCCTCCCAAAGTCACTTTGCACAGACAGAATACAAGTGTGAGCACCTATAGAAATTACGGTTGTCTAGTCATTCTGAAAGATGATGTTGGATAAAATTTACAACAGCCACAAAGGTATCACAAATTTTGCAAGACAAGTGCAGAAAAGATCATAACTACATTAAAATGTTAAACATTCCTTGTCTACTGTGATCTATATAACAAGTCACTTTACTCAATTCTCAGACATTCAACTATTTTGTCAACTTGCAACGGTGTTATCACTTGTTTATAATTTTGATCTACACCATCTTTAATGAAATCAGAACAAAACCCTCAATCCTGCAGTTAAATGCTTCCCTGTATTTGCTTTGCCAACTCAATAAAATTGATATTCCTGTTTCAGGAAACCTTTCATTCTCGTCTGAATTTTTCTTCTTTTTGTTCGCCCTCTAACTCCACAGATTCTGTACAGTGATTTTATTTTTAAATTTTTATTTTTACAGGGCCGTGGTCATTTTGGTAGTTCGTATCATTACACTTGGCTTGAAGGCCTCATGTGGTTACCTGAAAGGTGTAATATTTATTATCTATGAAAACCTCATGCCTCATTTAGCTGAACCACATTATTTAAGACAGTGCAAAAATGGGTTAATGGGTTGGTGCAATTGATTTGTTTACGAACCTTGAGCATTGTTTACGAACCTTGAGCATGCACCTTTGTTTCTAAGTATTTTTGACTTTTGTTTCACTTGGATAAGTTTAAATTTTTAAAAAGAACACTTTTCATTGCATTTAACATTAAAGTTTGGGATGTAAGGGACAGGGATGTCAAAGATTTTCCAACACTGAAGAATACAGAGTTCCAGCACACACTTTTTGAGAAAAACTCTTTGCAGCTACACGATGCTATGACATAACTACATTTTTGAGTCAATTAGATATGTGGGTCTCTACCCATACTAAAGGGGTACAAGACACACGACTGAGAAATGAATCAGGATACAATCAAGCTACCTATTCTTTTTCCCGTCGTACCATTACAATCTGAACCCATAGTTTGGGACTGTGCTCAGAACTTTTCTAGCAAATTTTACAAGTGTTTGCTTAGAATGTTATGTGCATAACATTGACTTTGTGCACGTCTTCCACTAGTCGACTTTGATAGTTTTTTACATTGGATTTACATGTACTTCAGACTTGATATGGTCCTAGAAGAAATTCGTCTTGATGATGTCATCGCATGATTTATGATTAAATTTTGAATGTTTAATTTCTCTCCTTTAGAAAACGTGTACACGTTTTCTAAAGTCAAAGGCTGGTGTATTCATACATCTGAGGGACCTTGTTTTGGCAGCATACGTGGTTCATCAACCCATGGGGCTGTCAAAATAAAATTGTCACGGCAACATTATCAGGGGTCATGTGACATCAGATTGAAGTTGCAGTTTTTTCTCCGGGGTTTTGTATACATTTTTTCACTTTGTACTTTTATTGATACTACCAGTGGTTAACCAGGGGATCACTGTGAGAATTTCAGACAAATCAGGGGAAAATTTCCCTTAAAAATAGTTTCAACAAATTGATTTGATCTTTTTTATTCCAAAATGTTAAAGCTGAAAAATGATAAACTCTGAAACAGTTCTGTGGTTGTTCACAACCACATCCCTTTATTTTCTTCCTCCTTTTTCAGTCTTTTTCTTCCACTAATCAACTTTGGTAGTTTTACATGTCGGACTTCAAACTTGGTAGACCTTCAGACAGTCATCCAAGAATGGTCCTAGAACAAATTAATCATGATAACATCATCACGTGGTTTATTACTTAATTTTGAAAATTGAATTTTTCACCATAGGTTTTGTATACGTTTGCCAGCAGCCAGACTTCACTCTGTTCTAGACCTGACTAAATTGATGTTAGGTCTACATTCTTAGCCCACCAGCTGGAGAGGGTTCAGGAACAAATTCTTCATGGTGACATCATCACGTGATTTGTTATTGAATTTTTAATATCTAATATTTCCCTTCAGGTTTTGTACACATTTTTCAACAGCCAGACTTCCACACTGTTCTCGAGTTGACTCAATGGATGTTATGTCCAGACTCTTGGCCCTCCAGCTAGAGAGACTTAAGGAATAAAATTGTCATGATGACGTCATTACGTGATTTATTGTTGAATTTTGAATACCTAATTTGTACCCATAGGTTTTGTACATGTTTTTGAACAGCCAAACTTTGGCACTCATCCATCTGACTTTATATTGGCGCACACTCTTATTCCACCACGTAGAGAGGGTCCCAGAACAAAATCATCACAATGACGTCCTCAAGGGTCATGTGACATGTGATTATAGCTCAAGACTGAGTCAGAAAAATCATCACTGTGACATCACCAGCGGTCATGTGACACAACATTAAAGGTGCAAACTTCAAATCTCAAACTTCAAATCTTGTGAAGTACATGTATGATTTGGTTGAAACTTTGCAGACAGATAGAAAGGGGGGTGGTGCAGATAAGAATTGACATCATGTGGTGATGATGTCATTAGGTGACAAGTCATGTGACATGACAGATGCATACAAAATATTGTATATCCTGAATTTGATGTTTGATTTGGTTGAAATATGCAAGTAGCAAGAAATGACACGTTAAAAACCTTCTAAATCCGAACATCTCTGTGGTTGCTCGTCACAACCACATCTCTAGTTACCTTTGAAAATTGACAATTAACTTTATGTTTATGATTCTGTATGGTATTCTGTATGGTATTATGTCAAGAATGTTATATATAACAAAACTGAAATTTGTCACGAACTTTCTTGTACACATTATGTAGGTTACATGTAAAATACTGGTTAGGAATATAATGGAATGATATTAGGGTAAATATTTGGGTTGACATCATGTGGTGTGGTGTGTCATGCACATGACAGAATGTGTTCAATTTATTTACAGCAAACTTCTGTCCTTGTTACCGACGTCGACGCTGTATTTTCTGCAAAGAATGTATTTTCTGCAAAGTGCGAAGAATTCATTTATATTTGTGTACACACAATTATCATAAAGGTTCTTGGATTGAACAAAAACAAAAATGGACAAATTATCTCGCTTTGCTCCAGTGGCTCTCTTTCAATTCCTAAATTTGCTGCAAATGGAACTCCATTTGGTTTGAAGTGCTCATTGACACTTTATACATTAACAATTTGTTTCTTCACTAAAAAAAATGGTGAGGTGAATTGAAAATTGTTTGGTGCTATAAATATCATATGTCAGAAATGTGCCCAAAGTTCGGGAAACTGAAATTATCTCCAGAATGGTCATGCATGTCCAGTGACAAAAAAAGTTTATTTTGAATAAGTTGAGAAAAGTTTGGTATGTAAAAAACACTGAGACTTCCAAACAAACCATTTTTCAATTTATGAAATACATCACGTGTCTCCTGAGGCAGATATAAGCAACTGTATTCTGCAAAACTGTGTTCAAGAACAGGGCTAGGATAGAATTTTTTTCTGTAAATTTTTTGTTCTTTTGTTTGTTTGTTTTTTAAATTGCGTACATTTATTTGAATAATGTTTCTATATACTACGGCTGGATAGATGTGTAATTGTCCAACCTTGTGCAATAAGCTGAAAGAATGTCCCACAGGTCTTTGACATGAGTTGACACATTAAAAAGGCCGGGGAGAATGTTCCCAACTACTCCAGTACAACGACAGTAAAATTTACTAACTTTAACCGACATCACATGCATTTCAAAGGTACAGTTGGCAAATACGTTCCTTCTTAATTATTATAATACACCGATCAATTGTTTCCCTGCCTCCTTAGTCTGTCCCAACAATTACTGAAAGCCAAACCAATACGAGTTGGACAGGATCAAACTGAACCAAACCAAAAACTTAAACCACCCTGGGCTGGAAAACATAAAGTTGAACATATGAACTTGGAAAGCAAGGAGCAAGTGCTTAAATTTGTCCAATTCCTGCCAGCTACATGCAACAGACTCCAAGCCTGATAATTAGGGGATGTTGAGGAAATAGATAACTAGATTTTAGGTGACAACATGTAAATGGAGCTGAATAACTAAAAATCACAATTCTGTAAAGGACTATTTGTTGAACTTGCTTACTACAAATTTTAGCTTCTATTTACGTGTTGATCACATTTTGTACATACTGGGGTACTAATGTACATAAAATTAAGGGAAAAAAATGTGTCACCAATTATCACTTTGAGACCACGGGGCACTTAAATGATTTAAGCTGAGCAATCCAAGGTCACTCTGAAAAGCAAGAACCACTCTTGTAGTGTCACCTATTGTGAGCTTCCTATGTTAACAGTCATTCAAGGTCAAAAAGTTGCTAAGGAAAAGTTCCCCTTGACATGTCTCAGACAAATGCAAAGCTTCCTCTAGGTGGAACCCACAATTTGTTTCTAACTTGTTCTTGAAATGTTTGAGATGGTTCCTTACCACTTTACACACGAGCATTCACTAGTTGTATGCTGTCATATGCAATGATAGATCAACAAATGTAATTTTCAAACGTACTCTCTACCGAACAACTCTATTTTTATGCAAAAAAGAAAAAAAATTCAAAACCCTGACAAGCTGATGTCTTGGTTTCACTCTGTTTCCTCTCCATTGTGCATCAGATGACTACTGTTATAGACTCAATTGCTGTTTTCTGCACGTCCCTTTCGCACTGTAACAAAAACAAAAAATGAAACTTAATGACAAATTCACTGTAAACAAAACTGACATGACACTCAATTAACACCATAAGCTTTGCTTTCTTGATAAACAAAAACCAAAGCTACAACCATATCATGCCCATAATCCAGGCCAGCCCAACCCAATCCAATACAAAATATTGCATAATACTGTAGTAGATTCTCTTTGTAACACTCTTAGAAGGGCCAAATCATTAATTTGTACAACCTTTGATACCACTGGTTATGTACATGTACATTTTACGCTCTGCACTATGCATCTACAGCCTATGCAGACAACTACGGCTACCAAGTCTTCTGAGACCTTCCTTGTTTTGTTGGAAATAAAACTTTTACTTGTAACATTAAAATATTTACAATACAAATGGAGAACCATGACCGTTGAAAGCTCAATAATAGCAAACCACTGTAATAGCACTGAATCTCCTTGCAGAAATTGAGCTGTGTGAAGATGACTTTGGTGGCAATCTGGCTTGAGGACTTGATCACTGATTTATTGTTTAGTCTCCGGATGTGAAATAACAGAAAACAACGACAACTGCAGGAAAATCCTCCCTCACAGTAGTGTGGGAGAGTCTGCTATGGATACCTACCCAAAAAGTCACTACTTAAGCAAATGTCCTACTTAAGCTCAGTCCCTCCCACTTTTTAATCCTTTAGCTCTACCCTAAAATGGTTGGAAAAGTGGGTCAAGAGGTTTTGAACTTTTTGAGGTATCCAGAGGTGATTTTTTTCAAAGGATAAAAAGGGTATGTAAACAATAACTGCACTGAATATTAACGGAAAGCCAGCAACAGGTCACCTGCTTCAATATTCCTCAGAATGGCATCATGTGCTTGCACTCGTGGTCCAGCATGTTCAAAAGCGAATCCAAGCTTGAGAAGAGTAGAATTAGACTCCAAGATGTTGGCTATTTCACACTCAAGCTTCTGACCCATCTGGCAATTCTGTATGTGTTAGAATGGCATACTTCTATAAAAAGCTATGAGCTTTACTGTACCCCTCTGAATGAAATACATGTATATCCATGGGCATGAACAGTCAATTCACATTCTATACTGACAAAAAGTCAAAAAGAAATGAATACCACATGTTCATACCTGGTTTGCAATTCTGAGCTCAGTTATGGAAGTATTCTCCCTCATTGCTTGCATTATTGAATTGACGCCAGCTTGGGTGATGAAGTTGGATTCCACGTTTAGGGAAGTCAGCACATTGTTCTTCCTAATTGATTCTGCTAATATCTGGAATTATTTCATCAGGACAAAAAATTACGCAATTTTTAATAATGGAATATTTCAGGCTATAACTTAATGTGCAGTTTACAGCACAGAGCTGTTGCGGGTGTTTTTCTTGACACTTGGCAGAATTTTGCAGTTACAAGTTTTTACCCAGTTTGGCACTTGAAGTTTTGAAGAAAACAAAAAAGTCAGCATCACATCGTGACATCATAATGATGACACATAATATGTCCTTGCCTAGGAACATACCAAAATTCAATTTATTCAGATGTGCTGTTTCTTTTAGATAACGACAAGTGCAGACTGCATCTTCAAGGTAGTGTAACGTGTCATATAAATGGCTCACATGATGTCAAAACAATTTTTACTTTAATGCATCCTTGCCACATCTTTACCACAGATATAGTAAATGATTGGCTGTGCAGTCCCTGAGATACTTGTCTTTTGGCAATTTTGAGGTTATGTCAGGTAAATGCATCATTATACAACTGCAATCACCTCGATCATGTTCTTGCCAACATCAGATGTGTAGTTTGGTAAATATAAGTTAATGAAAGAGGTATCTCTATGCCAGTGTCATGTGACAACTGATGATGCCATAATGATCTTCATGTAGAGGATATCTGTCTCCTTTAAGAACTTTGTACATGTATCTGTGAAGTTTATAGTAGAAAAGTGCCAAAAAATATGAGTAAAAGAGAAAATAAAGAAAAAAGTTATGTCATTTCAGATCTGCCATAAAGAAAACGAAGTGGATCTTCTTCCAAAGTTTCAAGATCACTGGGTATCCTTTATATGCCCCAAATCTCTTTTTACATGTCATGGCATTATCATTACATCACAACAGTTTCCAAATAGCCTAAACATCTACTTGAATAATCAAAGCATAATAAAATAAATTTTGTAAATATTCTATGTTTCTGGATGGAAAAAAGTAATTATTTGGAAAAAGAGAAAGAAATTCCATTGACATTGTCATCATGAAGTCACCCCGATTTTCATAAATACATATCAATTTTTGGTTCATGTCCAATTTAACCAAAATGGACCCAAAATGGATATTTGCCAAACCAACAAAACCAGGTGTTACATGACCTTACAGGAGTGTTATATGACTTGTGATGCTATTAGGACATCATAATGTGGCATACATCTGCAGATGGTATGACCAAGTATTTAATTTTGTTCTCCAGCCCAGCATAAAAACATGTTTAATCCTGTGGGATTTGGAGGTGAAAGAAGAGAGAAAAACTAGAGCTTCAATATCTGATGGCCCATCATTACGGGTTAACTTGTAGACTTTGAAACAAGTACAATGTATGTTCAGGGCTAACAGCTGGCAAGGTAAAATATTCACAATCTTACATGGGTGTGACAAAGCATGATAATGCAGAAAGCACAACATATATAGTGTAATAAATTTAAACAACCCTATGTTACAACTTACAAGTGACTGTATTATATTCACCTTTACAACTGGGTCAGTAAGACGTGTGTTTGCCATAAACAACTCTTTCAGGTGTTTGTTGGTCTCAACAGCCAAACAGATGCTCTTCATTTGTTCAATGGACATATTCTGAAAAATCATCATAAAAAAAACATGTCATACTCAACTGTAATCATTAAACATGGTTTTGTAACACTGCCTCACACTAGAGTTGGCAACTTTGACCAACAGGGCTCGCAGCAATTTCGCCAGACAAAAACCGTTATACGTACATGTTTGGATTTTTCTGCGACTGTTGTGTCATGAATGTCATGGGATAGTCGCACAAAATTTTTATGTTGTTTTGGTGAACTTGTGTTCAATTTTGTGTTGTGCATTTTGTTGCAGCACATTTGTTTGACCTTCACACATCATCTGTGCAACAGTTTTGAGATGGTTTGGCATCCTTAGCAAACTTGCATGAATGGAAAGGGGTTTTTGAGACCAATTCAAGAATTTTGCAAACAGCACGAGATGAGAGTTACCTTTGAGGTCATCAACCACCTGGTATAAAACCCCCCCAAAAAACCGAGTTCAGCATCCGTCTGAAGAATCTCCACCTTCCTGGGCATCCCAAAAAATTCTCCAAATGTTCGCAAACGGGTTTGAGATATGTGCACCACTACATCTCCACTTCTGCCAACTTCTGAATGCTTCTCAAATTTGTCATTTTTTTCAGTTGGCAAAAGTTGGTGACATTTTTTAGATGTTTTAGCACCCATCAATGTTGAAACAACCTGGCGAGAAAACCTTAAATGGTGACAGTTGCTGGAAATTTTGAACATGTTCAGCATTCAAGCCCACATGGAAACTTTTTGTTCAATAGGTCGCAAATGCCATGATTTCAATTTGCAAATTTTGCAAAAGTCACAAAGCCTAGTGTGAGGACAGCTAAACAGGACTTGACCAAGACCTTATTTAATAAGAGGAAGTCACAGATGGTCTGATGAACTGAAACCATGTACCTGTAACATTAAATCTGTATTAAACTAGGCTTTGCACTGGTTCTGAGTTGCCTTTTTTTACATCAATATGTACTAGAGCCTTATGCACTGATCTACAGTGCTGTACAATATATATGTACATGTACCTCCTGCAACTCTGTGTGACAATACAGACAATTCACAATAGTCTCCATGACAATACAGGCGATTCAATAGTGCATTTCCAAGAGTTTGCAATGCGTTGACCAATCACAGAGCGCAAAATCTGTCGACCCTTTCCAAACGTGCATTAAGTTGACAGATTTTGGGCACTGTAATTGATCAATGCACTGCAAATTCTTGGAGGCACACTATAGTAAAATGCCTGTATTCACGCCACTGTTGAAGACAGCAATGTTTAATAGACTGTTCAATAGTGTCTCTGCATGTAACCTTCGTTGATCTTGTACAAGGTCTATTCACTGCTCTTCATGAAACTCTTGGCCTGTTTGTTTCACATGGATCTGGATCCCAATTACTAATACTTACGCTGGTTTGCACCATCCATTGGGCAAGTTTTGGTGTCCATAAATCAACCATGGATCTCTGATCGTGATCAAGATCAGTGTGAAACTAACACGGTCTCTGAGAAATTCTAAAGCAATATGAAATGACTGTGTTGTAAGCTCCAAATGAAATCATTTATATTGCAAACATTCATGGATGGAGCTCTGTATGCTAAATGACATAAGTCTTAAACCAGGTTTCTCATAATCCAGATTTGAACCGATTTCAACTATTTGGTATAGGCAGTCGATTATATCAAAATAAAACATTTGCTG